TTGATCCCTGTCGGTGGACTCCCTCAGGAGCGATCGGCACGACCACTAATGGAAAAAGATTTCGGCTGTCATGTACAAAATTAAAGGAACACTTGGATGAATACATCATAAAAAGGTTCACACAATGAGGTTGACTATGAGACGTTCAATCCAATTCGGTACTCAAAGGAGGATGCATGAAGAACACCGTCTTTGTTACCAGGAAGACTTTTTACACTCGTGTTTTTACCATCCCTGCTGCATATAGTACAGGGTGCGTCGCATTTCTATCGACTTCTATTTTTCTGTATCCGAACTCTTTGAAATAACGTTGCTTGAAGTATTTTCGTTCAGTTTCAAGCGTTTATCGGCTAGGGAGGTTTTCACGAAAGGTTATTGTATTAAATTGCTAAATCTTTGAACACTGCGAAGAAAACCAAGTAGTGTACAAGGGCATCGAATGAAAATCATGGTCCAGTTCTCATAAAAAATTCACAGATATTCGGAACGCATGCACAATTTTATTTGAATGGACTCTGGAAAACTGTTTTATTGATACCTTAAACTCTAAATATCTTTGTTACTTTTCAATTTTCAACAGAACTTATCAAAATCTTCAAAGTGGTTAAATGAGTAGATAAGCTTGCTAAGTGCAAAATTTGAAAATACAATTTTTGCCCAAACAAAATCAATTGCTCCGTGAAAATTACCATACTACGATGACGCCACCTTAGTATTAGGCATACTCACCTTCTCCGCAAAAGAAGGGCCAACAAAATAATACTGATATTATTAGTAAACGAAACAGCAGTGTTCCTGTGCTCCGCTTGCATGCATAAATGTGGTTTGATTGCCTTTCATTTAATGATTATACAAAAGCCCATTTCATTTCTGGCCGTCGTAAAATTATCCCAAGAGAGATTTTACTCATGTGGTGCAAGTAAACTAAATCTACTTTGAGACTGGTGAACACAATAACGATTTGATACAACTGGCGAGGCAGATATGACTTTATGGAAGCGATGGTAATTTGGTTGACCAGTAAAAAATGGGTGAACTCAGCATGTCGGCAGGTGATCAAGAAATAAGTGACGAGCCAGGAAGGGAGCAAGCGTTCTTATTAAGACCGTGTGGACATGAATCAGCAGTTGTTTAGTAGTTTTGGTCAGGTTAGGTGTCCCCGTCGTATTGAACCGTAATTATAGGATGCATGCAATATCATATCATGTTCCCTTTACAACACTCCGCTTTAACCAACAAACTTCCACATCGTGAGATGATACATTTCTTTTACACAACTTGAGCAGTGTGTGTTATCATACCTAGATGCTCATTGTTATCCACAACAAGCAGCAACTGCTTCAGAAGACGCAGGAGAACGGCTTGGCCGTATTTTTGTATACAATGGTCCATGAAATGTGGACAGATGATTTCAAACAAGTTGTCTACTTCCAAAAACGTACTCGCTGTCTGTTAATTTCTTTCATCCAGATAACATAGTGATCGGTAATTAAAGACGGGGAAAAGTAATGCACACGAAGGCAAATGAATGCTATAAGCCAATGAACTATTGGTTCATTGTCTACACGTTATTGAGTTAAGTTATGGAGAGCTTCGAATCGAAATATTATTCAAAGAGCTGGCTGGACGTCGGATGAATAAATGTCTACTCATCAGACCAGTTTGCACTGATTATGAGACGGCTGAGGGACTATATGGTCACTCACCACTGCTGCGGTGCGGTGTGTTGTTTGCTGTGTGTAATAAAGGCCTGAATTCATTTAATTAAAATCAGGTTCCAGGTAAGAAAAAGTTTCATCAAAGGATTGCAAGTATTGATGGTTGATGTTGTTATGCTCGACGTGCAATACTTGAATTATGCATGATGATTCAGCTCGATTATTTGTAATTTTCCTGATTAAATGTGAACTCGCCATGCATTTCGTTTTGAGATTTGCAAAAAGCTTTGCTTTCGAAGGAAACATGTTTTAAAAAATTAATTTTATAAATCTTGGAAATTATTATACAAGTATTAGCATGTGTTTACGTACACTAAATATGTTAAACAATTTGGATGAAAATTAATATTCATGGGATTCACGTTAACGACGGAACTAAGTAGTTTACTTGTTTATTTCTTATGTAGCTTTTAGCCCCATATCCCAACGTGGTTGTTTTTGTTCATCTTCCGAGAGTGTGTACTGCACAAACTGTTTCACTTTACTTATTTGGTTGTCTTGTCAGACGAGGAATAGATAAATGTAGCACCCGAGGTTTTTCCAAGTATTATCAAAGCCTCTATTGCTGAAGAATCATTTGGTTTTGTAATCAAAGAGCACATGCTACAAATATATGTACGTCTTTCACTATGTAATTAAGCTCGAGTTTCCCCCGACACGAAGTTTTTGACAGGGGGGCATTAGCCAATCACACTGGCAAATCATATCGTGACGCTGAAATATTTTCCATATTTCACCCCATGCAAACTGATGACTTTTGAGATGTGATGGACGAAGGCGAAGAGGAATAGCAGTCAATCTCGTCTCATAGGTCTAGTTTCTCTAGAATTCAAATCGTCATTCATCTGTCAGAGAGAAGCATTAAAAATCCCCGTTTCATCAAGATTTAATGCGAAATCTGAAATTTTTATACGTCATCGAAAAATTGATCAGTACAAATTTTTAGCGAGTAATAGACAAAACGTATCCTACATAAATAACTATATTGATAAAGAAATAATTTTCTGCCTGCACGAACTTCAGGTTGTGTCGCCCCGTTTTTGAAGTACTTTTTAGGTATCTCTTTAAGTCAGCCGGCCTACTACTGTTATTAATTGATTGCAGATAATTAGAAATCAGAAGCACGCATTATTAATTACCAGTGCAATACAATTTATTTTATTGCCTGCAATCCGACCCAAAACAACTACTAATCTGGTCTGCTGCCAAAAGAAGTGACGGCATCTTAATTGTTTCTGTAAGGTTTGAGGTGGTCGGCTTAAATCATTCTTCTTTTACTTGAAATTTAAAACTTCTTCTGTTCTGTCTCTATCATCATGAAAAATACAAAAGAATATTGTACATGACATTTTCTCAAAACTTCACTCACTGCAAGTCTTTTATCTTTCTATGTAAAAATTGATGAAAGTTGTATTATGAGACAAATGTAGTTGTTTGGTTGGAGAAAATAATTGCATCCTTCTCTACGCCTATCGATTTACTGTAACAAGACAACAATTATCTTTATTGAATATTTCTGCATTTTAACCACCGCTGATGTCTCAAATGCAACATTGTGGGAACGTGGTCTCCTATATGACCCTCTTAACGTCAGAATTTATGAGAGCAATAATTGCAACACCCAGAAGCCGAGACACTGTAGCCAGGCAAGAATTAGAATTAGCATACAAATGGAATTTTAATAGGCTAACAAAATATTGTTTTATTACATCGGGATTTAAATTGGTAGCACGTAATAATTTATGGGCAATTTATATGTGTACGTACACGTCCATTACAGCAGGAGCAACAATCTTGCCTGCGCCGACCATACGGCATTATGCAAACTCACCGAATTAGAATTTATCACAGCTAGTAACCAGAAAGGACTATCGTGAATTAATTTTAATTGCCGTTAATTCTTTGAGGAAAATTTGATGTACATACATTTTTGTGATATATAATGTATATGTATATATTGTGCTTGCGTCGCAATTAGCAATACGTATATACCCCATTGCTGGTACATAAGTAGGTATTATTGTTGCATAAATGGATAAATACCATAAAGCTGTCACAATACATTGTATAGCATTCCCCTAGCATAAAAGGCTTATTGACATTTACTGGCATTTCGATAATTGGAGAAAGTTAAAAGTGAACATGGCACCAGCCCAGCCAAACTATTAAAAGCTAAATAAGTTCGGTCCTTTTCTGCAACTACTTACTTGAAAAACTCTTTTTTCAATTGCCAGTATTGCAATTCAGTATATATGGTTGAATTAATTTTATAGGTAATTTATACGATAATTTATTCACATCGAGTAGTAGAGTTGTGCTAAATGCATGTATAGAATAATAGCTCCATAATCTGTTGAGCCATCGGACAGTAGTTGTAACAAAGTTTATTTTTGTTCGGCAATCAAAAGTTGGGAGGACTGATGTTTATTGTGATGTTTAAATAGGCTATAAAAAATAAATCTAAATCTAATTAGCTGTGAAAGACGGACAATGTAGCAACGACTTTAGTCCCACATTTTAAAATTGCATTCGCTTTTACTTTTTGCATCCACATGTACATATGTACGCGTACATGGCATGCAATAAATGTACACACTAGAAATATGCTGCTTACTGAAACTCATTCATGTACATGAAGGATGAGATGTGAGCGTGAATTTAATTCTGGTTGAAATTAAAGTTAATGTGAAACAAACAACAAACCAATCACTATAACCAACAGAATAAACAAATGCATTGGCCGAGAATAGCAACGCTAACACGATCCTAAGACTCATTGGCTTTGTTTCAGTTATGTTATGGATGGGCGAGTCTTCAAAAGCCATTAAATTCGGAATTATTGGTCACACCTGATATTCTTACTCGCAGCCAAATTATCTTTGCTCATTACCATTTGCAATTTGATGAGCCATTACTTATATTATTGGCAATTTGCCCTGTTATGCAACACCAGCTAATTAAATAATTAAATCCACGACAAAATATTTGGTGGTGGGAAATATGAGATTCGATTTCCCGGGTTGGCTCTTGGTGGTGGTGGATGAGACTTGATTGCTGGACTTTGTCAAATCGTAAGATGCACGATCTCGATCGACTCATCTTTCATGAATGTGAATTTCTACTCCCTGACCAATTCGAATTTTTTGTCGAAAATTAGTGTTTGTTTTTTGAAAAGTGCATCACAGATAGAGACTGAAATATTATTTTTAAAGTTTTATAGTTTGCTAGTGGATAGTTAACTGGCACTTGTAAATAGTTTTACTTATTTTAAATAATTTAATCATGGGTATTCACGGACTACATCCCCTCCTAAAAACAAATGTCGTGAAAACGAACATTAGGCAATTTGCCGGCCACACTGCTGGTGTTGACCTTTTTTGTTATCTTTACAAAGGCGCCTACTCTACAAAGTTGACCGGCGACCAAGTGACCATCCAGTTCGTGGACTATGTAGTCCACATCCTCAACGTGATAATGGAGGCCGACGTCACCCCCGTCCTCGTTTTGGATGGCAAGAGACTCCTCGCCAAAACCAAGACCCACCTCCACCGTCAACAACAACAACAGAAGAGGAGAGAGAAGGCTGCAGCATCGTCATCATCATCAACAGGTCAGCCGGACAGCAATTTGCTCGAGAAGGAGGTCACCCTCCACTGGTCAGCCGTCCACCGATTTATTGAAATTGCCAAGGATCTCAATCTTGACTTCATTGTCGCCCCTTATGAGGCCGACTCCCAACTTGGACACCTCTTTAAGGAGAAATATATCGACTTCGTGATTACCGAAGATGCCGACTTGGTAATTGCAATTTGCATTATTTCATCCATTTTGTAAAAAATAATAACATTTTGTTCCGATTCCAGGTCGTGTACGGGTGTGAGAGAGTACTTTTCAAGTTGGATCGAAATGGAAATGGCGACTATTTTGAGAGTAGCAATTTGCCGACCTGTCTTGGGATCCAGCCCCAAGTATTCACAAAAGATGTCTTCCTTTGGATCTGCATTCTAAGCGGGTGTGACTACCTCCAGAATGTCAAAGGAATCGGGATAATGAAGGCAATCGAGATGGTACTCCTCTGCTTGAAGAGAAATAAGTCACAGTTGGACATCAATTTGGTGTGTACTAAATTATGTATAATTCTAGGATGTGTTCATAATTTTATAAACAATTTACGGCAAATTGCCAACTTGTTTTTTATGTTGTAGATCATGAAGATGATACCGGATAGGATGTCAAAAGATGCCATCATCCCCGAGGAGTACGCAGCTGACTTCCACAAAGCCATCCTCACCTTCCGCCATCAACTAGTTATGGACCCCAAATCGAGAAAAGTCGTCCCTTTAAGCTCTTACCCTGACGGATTGGACCTCACCCAGTTGCAATTTGCAGGGGAGAAAATTGACGACGACCTCTCAATGGACATTTCTTGGGGAAACATCGACCCCTACTCTCTTAAAGAATTCTCCATCCCCACAAAATACTACAACCCCGACGATGTGCCAACCACCAACATCTGGTCATCGGAATACGAGTTGATGGAATCACCCTTCAACATCCAACCAGTTTTGCATGGCAATTTTCCCGAAGAGCCACAAGTTTGGAGCTGTGACCACTGTGAGGAAGAATTTGAAAATGTCGGCGAATTCAAGTCCCATCTCAAGATCCATGGCGCAACTCTAAGATACCCCTGCTCTAATTGTGAAAAGGACTTTTCATCGCAGTTAACCCTACATCGACATCAACTAGTCCACCTTAGTCAGTCTCCATACAAGTGCGACGTCTGCAACCAGCAATTTGCTTACCCAACATCATTGACGGTCCACATCCGGACCCACACTGGCGAGAAACCATATCGATGTGGATGGTGCACCCAGCAATTTGCTCAACAGTCAAGTTGTACTCAACATGAACGATAACACACCAGGGTCAGTCCGTTCATTTGCGCCATATGTGAAAGGAACTTTAGTCAACGTACTAGTTTGCACGAGCACCTCAAGACCCACACTCTGGAGAAAGACTTCGCCTGTGACGTGTGTGGCCGGCAATTTGCCCGGAATCATCATCTTAAAGATCACAAATTAATTCATCAAGAAGTTAAGGTAACCCTTTTCAAGTGTCAGTTCTGCACCATGTCATTCTCCCTGAAAACGAATTTGACGACCCATCTCAGACTTCATACGGGAGATCGACCTTATCAGTGCCAGCAGTGTCCTGAAAGTTTTGCACGACTAATTCAACTTCAAAGTCATGAACAATCCCACACGGGGAAGAAATTCACCTGCAGCACTTGCGGCCAGCAATTTGCTCTTAAGGCAAATCTTAAACAACACGAAGCAATTCATTCGGGCATCAAATCCTTTGGCTGCCCAAACTGTGACTATACAACTAATAGAACATCAAGTCTGAAGACTCACATTAAGAGAATGCACCCCGGTGCCACAGATCAGATTGATGGGGATCAAGATGACGCCGTCGCGGAAGAAATCGTAGGGAAACGTGTGGACGGAGCCAGCGTTGAATACAAAGTAAAATGGTCAGGGAGTAAGAAGTAAGTATTTTACTATTTTTTGCAAATTGCAGTCCAGCGAAAATAACTTAATTGAAATATTTATGTCACTTATTATTATTTGCAGAGATACTTGGGAGCATGCAGAAGAATTACTTGAACATCGGCTACTTATCAACCAATTTGAGGAAAAGCTGAACCGTCATGAAGCTGAGAAAAAACTGCAAATTGCAAAACGACCCATCCCTTTGCTCGACTCCGATGCAGCGAACCTTCTAAAGAAGATGGTACGTAATTTGTAATGACTTTGACATTTATTAAATAAATATATGTATTATAGCAAATTTCTTGTGTGTTTAATAGGATCTTCCCAACGGATTCGACCTCAACTGGGAACCATTGAAGATATTGGGAGTGACGGAAGTCCGTGGAAAACTCTGCTATCTGATGAAATGGAGAGCAAAAGCGACCCCCACAATGGTACTTTCATCACAGGCGTCGGCAATTTGCCCTCAGATTGTTATTCAATTTTATGAGAAGCAACGAGGGTGGGAGGACTATGTTGTAAAATTAGTTACCAAGTAGAATGCATTGTTATTTACCTGTTATGAACAAGTATGTCCCATACAAGTTTTATTTATGGCTCATCCTTCTTTCTTTGTATGTCTTCAGTTTTAGCTGGTGGAAGCCAAACCAAATATTTATGTTCTAGGATGAGAAAGTTACTTTTAGTTTTGCAACATGGCATTACACAATGTATAAATCTGTCAGAGAGAACTAAATTCATTTTTGATTGATTGCAGTTCATAAAACTGCTTCTTGTAATAAAATGGTTGAAAAGTAATTGGCTGTGGTACTTGACGGGGGTAAAAATAAAACATTGTTGCGGTTGACAGAAAAAAAACATTGAAAGAACTGCATTACATTAATGTCTTACACAACTAAATATTTCAAGGGATAAGAAACTTTCTGAGAAATTATGGAAATCTCACGAGAAACAAAGGCTAGAACTCATTGGACTTGATTCTTGTTATTAAGCGAGTGACGGATAAAATATAATTTGCAGCTTAATTCAATTTAAATCCATTTACTAAGAGCACACGTTAGTGCGATGAATATGTATGTATTTGAGCGAAAGAAGTAAATCTGTCACGATCAAATCATCTTGATGTCGCTGTGGACGAGATGAATTATTCGTAATGTCCTTTTTCTTTGCCCATCTTCTCAAAGCAAATACACGCAAGGGCAACATTACGATTAATTCCATTTCATTTTAACCCAGTCCGTTGCCTTTGAGATCTGTACATTCATCCCATTCCGAGTACCTTTACGTACGTATCTACGGAATACAACTATTCCGTTTTTGGTTTTTGGTTCGTAATGGTGGTGTTGCGAGACATACTCTGCAATAAACTCTTGAAACTCGAGTTAGCACGACTAAAAAATTAATCACACTTGTCTCATCTCTTCTCGCCTCTTTAGTCCGCTACTGTTCATGCTCAACTTGAATTTTGAAATTTGAGATGAAATTAACAAAAGGACTTGCTCATCCTCAAATTGAATGTATTCCAAAACACTTTTTACACCACAAAATTCTGAATATGTGCTCAAATGAAATCAAAATATGCAAATAATTACTCCCATGAGCTTAGTTAGCATTACAATCACAAAAATGTTTAAAATGAATTGAAATATTTCTTTTTACATCACAACAACGCTTTTCGAGAGCCATGAGTTTCAACTTGAAAATGGTTATTTTTTCAAGTAGACCACTCACGAACAAAATATTCGGTCACAATAAAGGACACGTTTTCTGCTGTGTGGATTGATTGCACAGCCAACTGATTCAATCGAAATTCCTACCAAGAAGAAAAGTTATAGCATGCCCTACCCAACCTGGGATGATAAAGAAAGAATAATGATTTATTTTACAATGTGTACGAATAATTGTTAATTTTTTGCAGATGGACAAAATTGAATTTAAGCGTCATAAAATTTATCTGAGCATGCAATCCTTCTTTCTCAAGTCCACCTACTTTACTACCCGTTCATACAGCACCACCTTGACGACGACGACATGAAAGAGGAATGGGCTGTTATTCACTTGAATTGTGGATGAAAAATTTTCATTTCTACTGCGAACCAACTTTTGAGTGCACTATTGAACTTTTTCTCCACGACCACTGCAACTGGGTGCACATGGCAAAATGAATTATGAGATTGAGTGAGCCAGAGTTGTAAAAAAATCCTACCAGCACCAGCAACAGCAACAGCTTCCTTCTCATTATGGGAACATTATTATATGTACATATGGCTGATTTCAATTTGTTATGTTTTAATTTAATATTTATTATCAAGTCGCTGGGAATTGATTTGCGGCTACCATACGCACCACTTGTTCTGCTGAATAATGTAAAATATGTATCCAACCAAATGAATTCATTCGTTGGGTTGTGTTGTGTTCGTGTGATTTTAATTGATAAGTAATTGTAAATAAATGCGCACGAATTATGTGATGTAGTGGAAACGCCATAAATTATTGTTGTGAACCCACCATCCCCAGAATATGACAGATCAAGAAGAGATTAGCATTTATAAGGGAATTTCGCTACCAAAATTTAGCTCTTGCTGTTCTTTGGTTCAAGTGGTGCATGGCTTGGCGTAGAAGTGTAGAACGAATGATAATAATAATGTATCAGTTTTAAGATCTAGTTTCGTTAAATAGCTTTGTAGTCAATTTAAATTATGAGCCAGACTGGAGCTGAGAGCTGTTGTTGGCTGCAATGCGGAGCATAAATATGCAGTTGGAAAATTTAAGTCTTAGAGCACTTTATCATTCTCCATTATGAATAAAATATAATTTCACGTGAATTAATTTCAAACTGGTTGGACTTTGGTTGCTTTTTTGACATTATGCTCGTAGATTTGACTGTTGTGCAAAAAAAGGGGATCTCTCATGACAGGATGAGTGCATTGTGTTTGCCTGTCTCATGCTCACATGCTTACACGCGAATATTTATTGTTCGCATTATATGTAATGTACAAAAGAGAAAAACAAGAATCCGCATTCCAAGGATGAGATATCACATCAAAGACGGAATGATGCGATGGATGGTGGTGATACGTCACTTTTAACAACTCTGCTCAGCCAGCTCATCAGGATTACTCCGATCTGGGCTACTTCTCCGCTGGACTTTTCTTCACAATCACTTCTTGCCACTTATGTATGTACAGAAGTAAGTAAGTAAGGGTAAAATTTAAGCCATTATTACATCTGTGAAGATGTTAGCCATTTACGTAGATATGTAGAACTATATTATTACCTGTTTGGGCTAATTTGCAACTTGCGTCAAGATATCCTCAATCAAACTCTATACGTATGTACTAAATAATATTTGGCTTGAGTAAAAGTGACGCATATTCTTGTTATAAATGACTTTCGGCTTACTTGATAACTTGTCAATATCATGTTACACCTGGGCTTTATGTTTTATTACGTGGTATTTTTCATGACACAGGAATTTTTAAAAATTGAATTAAAATATTTCACTGTTTTATTAATGTAGACCTTGATCCTAATCAGTTCACAAATGTACAGTTTTAAAGATATATTTATATTGGTTGGGTTTGCGATAATGATTACTATGATTGTATTTCGTGCATATTGACTGGTGGGATCGAATCATCTTTTGCCTTGAATAAAGTGAAAACCTTTGACAAGAGGATGAAAATTTCAAAAATGCACAAGTGTAAAAATGGTCCCAGGAAGGAGCAAGACTTGCAGTAGTAAATACGTAGTAGTTTGAATACGAGTTAAAATTTAATCTTAATAGCATCACGAAGACATGGAGAGTGATTTGCAACTGAGGTTTTGCTTGGTGCCCGTTCAAGTCTCAAGCAAGCCGTCCATTTCCTTCGAAGTAATTGCAATTAAGGGTCATTTACATGTAAATACATAATTTGGAAAGCTTAAGCTTGTTTATTTATAACAGTTCATATATACATCAAAATTTGCAAAAACAATCAAAAAAATAGTTTATTCAAGAAACTGTCCAACTGCATGGAGGTCAAAGACAGGTTGTCCACGAGTATCTAGTTTAATTGGAGAAGAGGAGAGTGTGATTCTTTTCTCAAATTTAAAATCAAACAGGTCCTCCAAGTATTGGAAAAGATGGTTCTCATATTCATCAAAATGGGAAAATTTCTTGTTGGCCAGCTTTAGAGGCATTCCATCGACGGTACATTTTTGTATCATTCCAAATATGTTGGATAGGTGTCCCATTGTTTCGGCTTTTGCACAATCCAACTTGGCAAAGTCGATTATTCTACTCTGCTCATTGTTTAGTTTTGAATTACTATATGAGATGGATTTAACTACTTTCCAATCGTTGGATTCTTCGTCGAATTTTGTTTGGTACAAAGCAATAGTATGTAACGACTTGGATGGGTCTTTCTCTGTCACTAGAAGTCCGCGCGTGGAGATACTGGAGTTTTTATTCGCTGAAGTTTTTCCCGCATTTGATTTTGCAGTCCGAGATGTTCTAAGTCCATCGTAGACTGCGTCGTACTCAAGAATGAAATATGTGGAAGGCATGAATTTGTTTACACCACTTGGGGAGAGAAAGGGTGAATTCTGCCGGTCAAGTTGAGCATAAATAGTTTCATTTGTAACGGCGATGCTGAAATTGTTGGAGCAAAGAATCTTCTCCAAAAGTTGGAAAGACATATGTTTGAATTCGATGTCTTTCTGGAGGAGCTGGAACTTCTTTTCGTCAGGATATTTCGTATTGTGGGTGGATACAAGGATTGAAAGTCCAACCTTGAAAGAAATAATCAAAATACATTAAACTATTGCAAATTATAAATCTTAAATTCAACATGTTATATTATTAAATTCAACATACCTGGACGGTGTCATATATTTTGTTATACATGTCCTTTTTTGAATTCGACAGCTTCCATTTTTGCAGAACTTCAAATTCAACTTTTGAAAACCGAGCTTTCCAGTATTCTTTCTCCAATTGTTGGATCTTCTTGTCAGTGTATTTCTTGGCTTTGTACTCCTGGTAACGTTTGATTCTTGAAATTGATTCGGGGACTCCTCTTTCTGTCATGTAATCCTGAAGAGATCGATTTAGCCTAGCTTCCGCGGAATGAATGCTTTCGTTTAAACTTTTTCGATCATAATCAGAAGATCGGTGGTTTGCGTTAAACAACATGAGAACCACTCTGCCTTTGTTGTGTCTGTCGATGACTAAAAATAGTTCCCGGTTCCGTTCTCCATGTTCTTCACATTTTCCCTTTGTCATGCTCTGTTTCCAGCAACTGCACTCGACACAAACAGATTCCCAGTTGCACCTCTTCACCTCGTAGTTATTTCTGCTGTTTGGTTTTGAACTTCCAACGTTTGGATCGAATTCTTTTTTCAGTTTTCCAATACTGTAAAATAATTTGTCTTCGTTTCGACATACGAAGATTGGCATTCCGTTGAAATTCAGATCCACTTCGTTCAGATTTTTTTGATATGCTTCAATTCCTGTTAAGGTTCTCAGCCATTGTTTGTATTCTGCGCTCAATTTCATATCCTCGTCTTTCCCTCTCCAACCCTTGGATCTTAATTCATCCCTTATGTAAAAGAACAATTTTCCAAGACCCTGAGTTGGTGGCTTCCATATTGATGGTGAAGGAGGATGTGGTCTGGCTAGCCAGTAGAAGAGTCGTCTTTTGATGAATATGTCTAATTTCATAAAAATATCATGAATTACTTTACAATTGAATGTTTCTAAATGAGTTTATAACCAACCTTCAGTGGTATTATCACCTGCGCCACCAACATCAATACCGTCGTCCATTCGAGCTATTTTTGCAACAGGTTGTTCAATTTCTGCATAACAATATAATCATGATTATTTATTAGTAACGAAACTCCAACATTTGGATATAAATATTCAATGCAGTTGAACTTACCTAAGGAAATCTCACCCTCTACCTCCATTCGTTCATCAACCCCTTGATCCTCGACGAGTTGTGGCGATGGAGGACCATTATATTCTACAATCAATAAAAACACACAAATGAACCAAATATCATTTGGTAGAAAACAATCCTCTTACCCAACTTTTGGGA